ACCCGACTCCTTAGTCGGTAAAGATACAAGGAAACACACGGCACGCAGGCTGGAGAAAGTAGTACATGGCCATCAGGCCGCAAGAAAAACACAAGGCTTAAACTTCAGGGGGGGCTTCTCGGTATCGACAGCCCCATCCTTATCCTCCCCGATCAGCTCCCGGTCTTTTTTTCCATCCTGCTCCTCCTTCTGATCGGACCCCGCGGAGGATCCCTCGGTCGAATCAGACGAATCCTCCTCCTCTTCTTCCTCTTGAGCTTGACTCAAGAGTTTTTCATTGTATTCTTTCAAGGAGGCGGCAAACTGATTCTTCCAGCCGTCATAGCTGGCATCCGAGAAAAGAGCCCCCTAAGTCATCTCCATGATGACATCACAATCCTCCACCATCTGTTTTACTTGGGCCTCCTTCTCCTCCTCAGCTCTTGAAGTATACTTCTTAGCGAGTTGGACTTCCTGGTTTTGCAGCCTGGCCTTGAGTTTCTCCACCCGAGTGCGGAGGCCGGCTACTTCTGTGTCCACCCCTTTGAGGGGCTCAAGCTTAGCCTTGAGGTCATTGACCTCCTTCTCCAGCTCTAAGACCCGCCTCTTCGCTGCGTCCAAATCGGCCTTGACCTGCAGATTGGCGGTCGCCTGAGAATATAGTTTGTCAGTGGTCAATAATTCATTTTGAGCAATCTAAAACATAGTTGTGTCTAGGGAAGAGGCGGAGCGACCATTTGCATCTTTTACCTCTTTGGTCTTCTCGCTGATTGGTTTTCTAGGTCCATGCACTCGCAACATAGACTGCATTCGGCAAAAAGGAGAAAACATTAATACAGGCAGATCAAAGAGTTGTGTGAAAAAAGTAAAAAATTACAAGTTAAAATACCTTAGCGAGAAGAGCGAGAATGGCATCAAGGTTGAGTGTTCCGACTCCTCTAACCGACTTCCTGTCCTCAATGGAGATGGCTCTCAACATAGTCTTGGCTAGCTGTTGAAGATCCGGCTTTTGAGGGGCATCTGCACAATCAACACTTTGTAAATACTTGGTGTAAATTCAACCTATAGAACGGCTGATTTCAGAGGTACTAGTCGACTGCTGATTAAATTTGACCCTACAAAGGTAAGGCAAAGGATTAAAGCTTGTAATACCTTCGACCGCCTCCTTCTCCTTTTATGGCCGGCTACTCTTAGGGCCGGATGGGGACTTAGGAGGATAGGTCCTTCCTGGCCTATGGGCCACATGTTTCCTGGGTCTACCAGGAGTCGACACATCGCCGGTTGTTTGCTTCTGAAGCTTCGGGTCCAGCTGTGAAGATAGAGAAGGTTTGGATGAACCGCCCTACATATAAACCAAAATGAGTAAGAAGCAGGCGGGAAAAATAAATCAAAACTTAGCCAAATTGAAGAAAGGCTCACCTTGGGCGCCTAAGCTGCTGGTGGCTCCTCGCCCTTCCGCTTGCCCAAAAAGGAGTAGTAGTAGGCGGCTGGTTTCTTAGTGGACGAGAGTTTCTCCATTTCTTTGTTTGCATAAGAATATTCAAATGGTTAAGTAAGTGGGCAAAAACAGTTAAGTCTTACTAAAAAATTTAAACACAGTCGGCCGACTACCTCTCGGCCTCTCTACACTCAGACCACAGGCGGCTAGATAATCCTCATCAGACAGCCAGTCATATCGGGGAATGTAACTTTGGGGAATGACCTCCTTCGCCCCAGTCTCCTCATTGGGCCGGATGGTCACTTTATAGAGGCCCTTGTCCAAGATCTCCTCCCTGGCTTTTCTAGGTACAGGCAGCAATTCAAATCCGCCTGATAGCAGAGGAGGGTTCCGAGTCCACCAGTTTTATTTTTTGTTCTTCACTTTGTCAGGAGAAGAGACAATGTAGAACTTGCTTCTCAAGTCCTTCCACTTGTTCTCCTTTCCTATCGTCATCATATAGCCTTTGTGGCTAGACAAAGTGTACCATCCGGACACGCTTGCTTTAGGGGTCCGGCTAAGATAATGCATATGGGAGAACGCCTCAAAGTTGGGATCCACCTCCAGCATTTCACAGGCGGTAGCAAAGCCAAGAATATTTACCCAAGAGTTTGGGGCCAATTGTCAGATACCCAGCTGGTATCCGTCCAAAATTCTCTCCACGGCCGAATGGAGGGGGAATCTAAGGCCGGCTTGAATGGCTGCCTCATAACAACCAAAGCATTCGTCCCCGTAGCTGGACCCTTCTGGCCAGACTACGGTGTCTTCGGCATCCAGTACACATAAAATAAAGCCATGTCCCATGACATGGTCAGCTCTGAAACTCTCCACCTTGTCAGCCATAGCTTTCCGCCAGCCCGCGGGAACGTGATGATAGTAAGCAGCAAATTGCTCTTGGCGGGAAGCAGACGGCTCGGCCCAGCCCTCGCCCTTTTCTACAGAAAGGGACTCTCTCGCTGCCTCCAGCCGAGAGCGCATTTCCTCAGAGTCATTAGAGGATCTGCCAGAAGTACTTGGCTCGGACTCATTGTTTGAGCCGTCGAACCTAGCGTCTGCCGGGGGGCCTGTCGAATAGAGCCAGAGGCATCACTCTCAAACTCCTCCCCCGATTCATGCAAAAAAGAATCATTGGGGGTACTTGGGGTGCTAGGCGACACATCAGAGATTTCACTAACATGCGCCCTAAAGGAGCAGTCCAGGTTCAGCTGCCTGGCTGTTTGTTTAACTCTGGCCATGGTGTCCTGCACAAACACAGAGTCAGTCAGACTCAGAGAAGTTCGCAAAGGGTGATCCAACAAGGAGCAGTCGGCACTCCTAATTCTAAATTCAGCCGTCCCCGGTGACCGGCTGATCACTAACCTTTTCAACCAATCTAGCTATGTATGCATATACATTTCCATATTTGTTAGTTTTCTCCCCGAAAACTTATTTGCAATTGAGGAGTCTTTGCCCTTCATGCAAATTAATCAAGTTTCAAACATGATTTTCAAACATGGAGTCTGTTTCAGATTTTTATGGCCTCTAACCATTATTCGGAATTTGGATTTGTCGTAGCTAATTTACAAGACACTATTCCCTTACCATCTAATAGTAAATAGGCTTGTAAGTCCAAGGCGTTGGTGAATCCAAGGGTTTAGTGAATTTTATACCTATACAGGGTAATTGCATCACAGGCCCTAAAATAATTTTAGATTATATATTATGGGTAATAATATATGTAGCCTTAGGGCTATATATAAGCATTAGATATACTTCCTAAAATAGAATTAAGTTGGGAATTTATGCCAAAATCACGCGTAAATAGGTGTAATTAATACTAATTTATCCACAATAGTTCCTTTTAAGTTCTTATACATAACCTTTAAGGCTATATTTATCATTTTTCATATATTAATTAATTATTTAAAGTCTTAGGATGCCCGTTAGCAAGATCTAACAATTACATAGAAATGAAATAACTTAAAAAATATTCGAAATACATTTGATTGAATGAATTTGTAGTTTGAGCTCATGATAAAATTGATACGCCAAGGAAGTTCTAAAAAAAGCAACTCAAAATTCTCAAAGACTAAACTTACAAAATCTCACTAGCTAGCTAGCTCCCTTTGTTGATATCAAAACCAGAGAGAATCTATTCCTTCGAGAGAAGAAAAAAAAAAGGATAGCTATTGTACGCCTGATTAATTATGGTTGCTGATAATGATGCAACTTATACAGCAAAACATTTCCCGCAGCATTCTTCGCAGCCATGAAACCACCAGTTCACCAGCAGGATTAAAATCGAAACATTTTGGATAGCGTATATGAAGGAGACAGTAAATGAAGGGATGTGAACCAACTTATATTGATGCCCCTACTTTTACAGTAAAGGACATTTCGAATTAGAAAAGACAGTAAATGATGCCCCTACTTCATCCTTTCCTGATAGACTTTTGTGGGATGCAAATAGCCTTAACAAGACGAATTGAGCCTATTTTGTACTGTGTGTTGGGCTTCCTGGTTCTGCAGAAATGAGAGGATGCATAATGAGCCTGTGGCTGATCCGATTGTTGTGGCTGCTAATTTCACTAAAATGCTACATGATTATAAGGAGTATGCGGCAAAAGTTTTTAGGCCTGCTGGGCATATTGGCGTTGCTGCCCCTGGGAATTGGCGTCTTCCTCCTGCTGGCGCAATCAAGGTAAATTCTGATGCCCAGGAAATATAATTGGGTTGGGTGTGGTGCTGAGAGATGAGGCAGGGGGATTACTGCAGCAGCTGTAAAACGAGTGAAAGCATGGTGGTATGTATAGAAGTTCAAGTTGGGGATGCTGCTCGCAAGACAGTTGGGGCACATGAGAATTGAGCTAGAGTGTGATGCGGCCAATCTGGTGAATACCATTAACAGGAAGGATCCGGGATACTCTACCTTGATGCTTTTCTATGAGGATATTTGGAAGTTAAAAGATGGTTTTATTTCATTCAATTGTAGTCATGTTCGTAGATCGGGTAATACTTTGGCGCCTTTAGTAGCTAGATTCTGCACTAGTGGAACTTCTTATGTATGGCTGAACTATTTTTCCCAAAGCTTTATATCTTTGACAGAAATTGATCTTCTTTATAATATTGCCCGTCTAACGGTTTCTTCAAAAAAAAAACCAACATACATTAATACACAATCACAAATATTAATAATCAAATTTGAGGATTGTTTTGTGAAACAATATTAGCTTAATAGCTTAATATCAAGTCAATGTAATCAATGCTGAAAACATTCAACAGCAGACCAACATTAAATTAACAGCAGCAGCACCTTAAGCAATCAGAGCACAATCTTAAGCCTAAACAAAAGAGTAGAAAGAAAGGCTTACGCCTAAACATCAGTCTTACACATTTAACTACCAAGATCAAAACACTACATTGTTCAAACTAAACCTACATTACATCAGAGAATAATGAAAAACAGGCTAAAATACAACCCAAACCACACTAAGCACCCAAAAGAAGAGATAAGATTACATTTACATCAACCCCAAAAATACCAAAAAAAATCGAAAATCTATGCCTACTTAGAGTTCATACCATCATCAGATTTATCAACTGCAAGTACATGAACTTTGTCATAGTCATACATCACAGGTTTAATCATATACTCTTCAGGAGCAACCGGCTTCTTCGAAACAAAAACACTCCATACAAACATCACAATGTAAGCTCCTAAAGCTCCACACACAGTGCCAAGAATCAGAGCTGTAAGAACCTTCAGCTTACAGTCACTCTTTTGTCGAATCATCACGACCGCCTCTGCATCTTTCGCAATGGGTTTAGGATCTAATGGATACGAATGCATCCAATAAGGAACAGGTCTTAACTTGAAGCTCCATGAATATAACCTGCATACTTGACTGGAATTTGCATTTGATGAGCTTAACCCAAAGAAAACCTCCTCACCCTTGAACATTTCTGACAAATCAACAGGACAAGATAACAATGGAGAAACAGATCTTTCTTCACCCTCTTTACTCATTCGAACCTCGATTCGTTTTGAACTCGCTTCGTAATCGATCCAACATTGCAGCTTCTTCCCACTACTCAATTTCAATTTCAAATCCGACCCATTTGTTACTTTTACTGATACCAAACTACCAACATCAATTCCAACATGATTATTGCTCAAATCTCCGAATTCAGCATCAAATTTCGTATCAAATTCAACAGCGAAAAATGCTCTATTCTTCTTCTCAATCAATTCATTCGACAACCCAAAAAGTTTCCCATTATACCCACCAGAAGAATACCCTTTTGGAAGCATTACAAACAAAATCCCATCTCCATCTTCAGAGGAGAGAGAAAATGTAAAATAAGTCCCAAATGAAGCCTTCCTACTCCCATTTCTACCCATCAACTTAATGGGTTTTCGGTACATGACCCGACCCGAACTGAATGAATGAGATTCAGTCAATTCAACAAAAGACCCATTTTCATCAACCTTTGCTTCACCATAAAACCCGATTTCAGAGTCCAAAAACTTTGAATTATTTCCAAAATTTTTGAACCCAAATGAAGTAGAACTCGACTGAACTAACACATCATCCATAAAACAGAAAAACATAGCAAAATACAAGATCAAAGAGTACCTTAAACTGAAAATCATCGCCATTATTGATTTGTAGAAGTGGGTAACTTGTGATTTATGATTTGGGTATTTTGAGAGGTGAGGAAAAAAAAGGAGGAATCTAGGGTTTGGTGAGTTGTTCAAGTAGAGTGCACGGGAAGAGTGGTATACTACTGTGTAAAATGTGTAGAGAAAATGGCATTTTTTTTTTTTTTTTTTTTTTGAAGGAAGTGAAAGAAAATTAAATGCACTTACTCGATTTCTGCAGAAAAAATAAACAGAGGACCTATGTAGTGAACTTTATTTCTCTTGGTCGTTGATAAAATCTGACTCAATTTATGATTTATCTTCTGTTTTAATTCTGTTTTGAATATTATACTTGTGAAAAGAAAAGGAAGATGGGAAAAAGAAGAGGGAAAGAATTAAAATAAAATATGCTTTATGGACAACTTTACTTTTGTCGTTGGGACCAATTTGTTGCCAGCTGCTGTGTAGATGACATGTCGTTTGAGATATTAAATGTTTTATTCCACTTGTTCTTAGTTTGTTACTCACTTGATACGGAATAGTTGATAGTATGCTCCAGTAGAGGTGTCCACGCAGGTTGTGCTAGCTGAGTTAGAGTTAGGTGGGTCTCGGGCTGGGGTTTCATGACACACGACACGATCCATGTAGGGTAGGGTGGGCCGGGTCGTGTGTTGGGTCGGAGAAGTCGGACACACCAGGGTTGGGTTTGTGGGTTAGACGGGTCGTGGGTGGGTCGAGTTGGGTTCGTGGGTTAGACGGGTCATGGGTGGGTAGAGCTGGGTTCGTGGGTTAGGTGGGTTGGAGGGTGGGTCGAGATGGATCGGAGGGTGGGTCGAGCTGGGTTTGTGGGTTAAATGGGTTAGGGTTGGGTGGGTTCGTGGGTTTGGGTTGATCTGGGTTCGTGGGTTAGGGTCGGGGGGGCCAAATGGCTTAGTGAGTTGTGTGGGTCAAATATCCAAGTTTGTTCTTTTTTAATAGTTTTGAACTTTTATTTTGAAATAATGTTTTGCAAATATTTATTTTTACGGTTTTTTCACCGTATACCACTGAGTTATTGAAAAATTCTTTCAAATTTAAGCATTTAGCATTTGATAGTTATTTTACAATAGAGTTTGTAAACTTCTTATTGGACTTTACAAAATTGACTTTTGCTCAATTTCCATGTTTCTCAACAAGCCAAACCTAATATTAACTTTATGAGAAAACTCAATCCAATTCCTACATGCAATGCTTCTCTCAATCCACCAATGGATTTCTTGAGATTGCTTTTATATCTAGCATTATTTAGGATTACAAAACCCTTAGACTATATCCTTAGTCGCTTCCAAAATCCCAATTTTAGGAAGGCGGTTTCGATATCTATTTTGCTATATTTCATATGCGCGATTTTGCTAGAATAATCACGAAAAGACTTAAGCATTCCGATTAGTGAATAGGTTTTATTAAATCAACGCCGTGAATTTAATTGTAACCTTTTCAACCAATCTAGCTATGTATGCATATACATTTCCATATTTGTTACTTTTCTCCCCGAAAACTTATTTGCAATTGAGGAGTCTTTACCCTTCATGCAAATTAATCAAGTTTCAAACATGATTTTCAAACATGGAGTCTGTTTCAGATTTTTATAGCCTCTAACCATTATTCGGAATTTGGATTTGTCGTAGCTAATTTACAAGACACTATTCCCTTACCATCCAATAGTAAATAGGCTTGTAAGTCCAAGACGTTGGTGAATCCAAGGGTTTGGTGAATTCTATACCTATACGGGGTAATTGCATCAAACAGTGAGTTTCAAGGTGCTTTTAAAGCCCTTTGATTATATTGGTCTTACTCCCACACTTTTAAAGTTTTTGTGAATAATGAATTCTCTTATAAGGCACTTGTAAAGTCCTTTGAGTATTCTTGATTAATCATTCTCATGAAGCCCTACTAAAGTCTTCCAAGATTCTCATTTCTAGTTTGTTGCTAATCTCGATGGTCATTGAGTTCATTTTCCTCGTACTTGTTATTTTGGAAATGTGTATTTTCCAGAAAGACACCACTTAGAGCAACAAATATTATGTTCTCAATTAGGTTGTGGAAGTAAAGCTCGTAGTCTCACTTGAATGCTTACAAAGAGACATGTATATTGTCTTTGGGTAAAAGTTTGTTGTGAAACAAACAGCTAGCTCCCACTCGAGCTACCTTAGCCCTTATTGAGCCACTTTGCTCCCACTGAGCCAATAAGATCCCACTGAGGTTAAGGGCCCTAGACAATACCTTGAAAAGACGCTAGAAACTATTTCTACCCATAGCTAAATATGGTGTCCTTTCTTAGCTTCGACAATTTAGTGTAACCCTAGTCATTTGTGCAAATCTTTAAGAACTTTATAGGTAGGGATATGATCCATCATTATTCGAGTCAATTACAAATAGCATCGAGGTCTCCATCAAAACATACTATATTCTTTGTGGAGCAAATTATGAAATTCCAATTTCATAACTTTCATATGATCACTCTTGGCTCAAGCAAACATCGTTCGATCTAATCTAGACGTTTTGATATCTTGCCAAGTCGATTCTATACTTCACTGAACTTTTGAGCTACTCAAGATCCAGTTTGTTCACATTGATGAATATAGTCATATTCTTTTAAATTCTTGTGAAAAACGTTAAAGTAATGGAATTCTCTTTAGCTTTCGGAGTCAATTGTCTATACCAAGCACAATAGCTCCTTTCTTAGTCGATTTCAACAAGTAAGACTTGCTTGCCTTAGAACGATTCCAAATCGATCAACTATCAAGAGTCTATCTATTAGAGCCTTGAGTAAGTTCTTGTCGATGTGACATTGCTAAAGATGTTTGGAACACAAATCATGTCCATGACTTGAACCTTGTGAGTTTTCATGTAAGAGAAAAGTTTGTTTATAATCAAGCATCCTTGACTCATGGCTTAAACAACCATGTCATTCAAATAAAACCAACAACTATTGCTCTTGTACTTTGAATGTGAGTCTTTCCGTGTGTAATGATCCTTTGCTGATTATGGAACACAATAACCATTATTTGTTCCAGCCTTAACTTTAAAAGGTCTTTAAACAAATCAGATGACCTTACAACTGATGTAGCACCACTTGCTTCATTCCAAGCTTGTAAGTCAATAACTTCGCTTAACTTCATTTTTTTGAGGTCACTTCAAAAGGGGAACTCTCAAGTAGTATCTAATACTTTTGAAGATAAGTTGCTAAGTTTAACTACGATAACATGAACTCTTAGGTAGCTTAGAATTGGAATCTCAAATTCCTTTTCTTTGTTCCTTATTTCCTATATTTCTTATCACACATCATCTCATAACTGTAAGAACCATTTCCTTAAGTGTTTTGACTTTTATACTTTGTTAGGCATAATTAAGTATCTAATGCGCCTTAAAACAAAGTTCCATCTTTTCCTTTAATTCGTACTTGAATTACTACATCAATGAGTCCTACTCATTAGTGTATGAAGCGAAAAGATATGTTGGTTGTCAACTATTGACAATTTGAGTTTTTCAACTGAATACTTCATGTTCATCAAAACTACCTAGTATTTTGAATACATGATTTCCAACCGTGCTTTCGGACTAAGCTATAAAAGTCATTTATGAGAAGTTGTATTTTAGAAATGTCTTTCTTTCCTTGAGAACCATTCTCAAAAAATTTCCTTTTACCAATCGTCGGAAACATTATAATTTGATTTAGAATACTACAAATATAAGTGCAAAGTATAACCATTTATCAAGATAATAACATAATTCGAAATTAAAGCATACATGCAAACTTTCAATCTTATTAAGCATTTTATCCACACATTTAAAATTTGTCCCATTTAGGCGAGAATAAAACGATTCCAAGACCCTTAAAATCAAAAAGTGATTAAGAATTCTTTGGCTTGTCTTAACACTTAATATTATAAGGTAAGCAATCCAATTGCTAATAGCTCTAAGCTACTCTTGGTTCGATAAACGTCGCATCTAATGCTTTCTTGACGTTTTATCTCCATTGCCACGACATCTAAGGACTCCTTACTGATATCGTTGAGTCTAACCAAAAATAACGTGTATGCGATGCCTTGCTTTGGCAAGCGCAACAACATACCTTACTTCCCTAGGAAAGTAGTAATGATATACTTTGGCACAACCCATTACTATTCTCATTAGTTCCGTAAGTGTCATTTTAAAATGGCAAATTTAACTCAACTTTCTTTGGGACTTAGGGTTTCTATGTTGGTTGATTTAAGTGAACTAAACTAATCATTCAACATTCAAAATCCTAAACATGCATCTAAGATCGCAATTATATAAGCAGAATATATAAAGCATAATAAAGTTGCATTTGGCAACTAGCATGACCCCTTAAACTTGAGTCTTTAAATCTTCGAGGGCCTTGGTTGCATCCTCTTGGCTCGTCTTCTTAGAAACGACGTTTTTGAGACATCACCACCAATTATGTATCTATTAGAAAGGCTAGGACTAATCTAAATAATTTAAGTACAAAAATATTTAACGGCACGCAGTCCGTATTTATATTTACAAAAATACAAAACGGAACGCCGGGTCCGTATTTACTATCCTAGCCGGGCCCCATTAGTTTCCATTTTCTAAAACTTACATTAGAATTCTATTCCATTCATCCAATCACTAACGTGAATGGCTCATGCATTTTACAAAGTAAAACAAGCAATAAAGCAAAACACGCGCAAACTAGTAACTAACTTAGGTGGTTAATCCAATTAACACGCCTAAATAATTAATGAAGCTCCCACTAAATTCCGCATCTAACTTGATTAAAATTAATCTAATTCATTTAATTAAGCCGGTTTACCCAAATTTTGCGAAAATTATTTTGCAAGTGCCGAGAAAAACCGAGGCCTAGCCTCGTTTTAATAATTAAATAAGTAATTAAAAATGGCAAAAATCGCATAGCCCTATGATGCTCGAGTGCCTAGCACCAAGCAATGAGGCTTGGTTTGCTAGGCACTGAGCCACAACTGCCTTATGTG